TCTGCCGTTTCAAATTGTGCTGAGCCCCGTTCGCTGACAGTCCAATGTCTTCACTGGGACGATGAATGGCAATTTTTTGCCCTTTATGGCACCAACAAGGAGCTCTAAAATGACAAGTGCGCATGTTTTTCGCAGTAGGTCAGCTATAAATTGACAGAAAGGCCCAGACGATGGACTGGCACGTATGAGAGGGAAATCTCTCCCTAACACACATTAACCTGTCACGACACGCCGAAGTTGTCGCCTGGTAGGATGCCAACTTGCGGGATAAGTGAGTCCTCATGGGAGAATTTCCGAATAACTGGAGGATTGATGTGGCATTTACGGCACTCTCATACACTTGAGATCCCAGTCGCTCCTCTGCCCATGAAAGCCTGGTACATTGTATGCAACGCAGGCCGTGCGTGAGGCACGCGTAGACGGATTGTCATTCACTGCGTCAAAGTGCACCTCCAACCGACTTGGCTTTTTCTTGCCACCAGAGGAGCGTGGGCGAGAAAATTCAGTAAATCCTGCGCAAGTTCCCACGACACTGGGCGCTTATTCTCCGATAAAACCAATCTGACGCACTACCTACCAGTGTGCTGAAAGCCGTGGCTTGCAAGACCGCCAACTGGGAGGGGAGAACTCGCTCCTTGCCGCTACTGAGAATCAGCTCGTAATGACTCCTTTATAATGTGCCCTTTATGGCACTCCCACCACTCAGTGAGGCTCGAGCTGCTTCCCTCCTGCCCCCTTCCTTTTGTGTGAAAAGCTGATTCATTGTGCGCGGAGGAGACTGTGGCACGCGCAGTCAGGCTGTTTAGTTCTGTCAGCCACTGCGCCTGATCCAGCCCTTTTGGTCTGATTGACTCACTCTTGACGCGGAGCCCATGTGGGAGAGCGTGCAGTAGATGCCGCGCAAGTCTTCTCTCACTACAATCCAATTCCCGTGCAAGTCGCAGTCCCTGCACCCAGGCACAGACATCGTCGATCAAGAAGTTCGAGAAAAGTCATTCACGTGCAAGGCAACGGTTCTTCGCGCACTCCATCCGACAAAGGATGCGTGTCATCAAACTGCCCCAATACAAGGAGTGTTCAAGCAGAGACTGTAGTCACGTCGGATGCCTTTTACACCTGCATGTAGATTTCCTGTATGCGTTGGAGCACAACTTCCGGTGTCTCACGCCAGTGAGTAACTACATCCCTTCCCCTCTAGGCCGAGAGACACCGATAGAAATAAAGCGGCAGGGACGACGCAGATGCGTGGCGCAACAATCTGATAGGATATTATCAGAAAAGACCCAACCGTGGAACCAAATGAGCAAAAAGGAATGAAAACGTCAGCGTTGAAAGTCTACTTTGTTGATTGTTTTGACAAAATTATAAAAAAACTCGGCGGGTTGCGAAGTCATGGCAGCTTGAGTACAGTCAACGTTCTAACCAGTTAAGAACAGTGATTTCAATCACATTTAGGTCAAGCTATGTACCTAGCCATCGTGGATTTTAACCCCACCGAGCTTTTTACAATTACATAAAATGAGTCATAATAAGCTGCAATCATTTTAATAAGTCTATTTCGGTCTCCATCGGTAATAAGGGCAGTCTAGCCAAGTCAGGAAACCGATGGACGAGACGGCTTTCGCCCGAACACTACAACTGGTGATAGTCTACAGATTAACGGGGAGAATCGGTTGAGTGACACAAAGAAAATTGTTCGGTCAACAGGCCAACTAGCTCCGCAAGTAATTTTGGCAGGAGTTTCCTTGGTAGCAACGAATGTTTTTATTTATATTTACATGCCTACTCGATTAATTTCTGTTAGGGTTAGGGTGGGATAGTGATATGGTATGTAAAAAAAACCCCGAGTTTCTGTCTTACGGGAAGCGTGGGTGTATTAATGTAAATATAAATAAGAACATTCGTTGCTACCAAGGAAACTCCTGCCGTAAATTTGTTTTCTATTCGATTCTTATGTGGCAAACGTTTTAGTCGGTCTATCTGGTGCAAATTACAGAAGCCCTTTAAAAAAATTCCATTGAAACGCTACAGTAATGGATAAAATTTAGTGAAGATGCAAAATCAATTACAGGTCGCTTGGGTATGCAAAAATCCATAATATATTTATGAAATACGAATGGTTGACAACTGACAGTCAAGCCAGCTCTCGAAATACAGGTTATGCGACAATTTTTTTCAGAAAGACAATGTGTCGCTAACAGGAGGACTGCCCAGTTAATCACTTCTTAACTTCTTAAAGTTTAAACCGGCATAAAACGACGGAATTCTAGCGAGAAAGCACTTAGACTAACCATGAATCCTTCGCGATTGCCTGTTGGCCAAGCTCTGTTGCTTTAAGAAACCTCTCAATCGACGGTCAACCGAAGGGGCGCTTTTTTGCCGAAGGCTGCGTTATATTACCAAAGTATTCCAGAAAGGATTTTTAATCAAAGTACGCAGGCAGGGAGGTTGTTAAAGGTGAACTGCAACAGAAACACTTTAGGGTCTGGACACTTTTATTGACAATTTGAAAAAAGTCTAAAAACTTATTGGTACACTAGTTGGTCGATTTTTGTGGACTTTTGAGGCTGTCGAATGGAGACACTTGGTTGTTGCATCTAGGCACAGTGTAGGTGATTGGCTCAAATTATTTGTGTCGTGGTTGTCCACGGTTAGAAAAGTACTAGCAAAAAGTACATTTACCTCAGGTGAAATGGGATTTTTAAAAAAGACTGGTACTGTTGTCTGCCCCAAAACTCTCAGACCCAGACATGGCTGACGTGTAGGCGTGGGCAGACCTGCGCACAGGCTAAAACCTGCTTACAATATCGCAAAAACAATACACAACCGAGAGAGAGAGAGAGAGAGAGAGAGAGAGAGAGAAGGCAGTCAGGAGTCTAACTAATGCCTTGTCATATTTGTCCCTCTGGGACTTGGAACAACCATGATATGGTAGCCATGAAAACGGCAACCCTAGTGATTTTGTTTTTTTAGACCTACTTGCATAATATCTAAATACTGTAGGCATCGGTGTCGTTCAAATTTGCCTCTCGGGCGGCCGCACCCTAATAAACCTTCACTCGGTAAAAGATGCAGGCATTATATGTTGCTTGAACGACAAAACCGTGTTTCGCCCACGTTACAATTAAAAATGAGATTCGGTCCTCTATCAGTGTTTCAACACCAAATAAGGGTCATAAATCATAGATAGGTGGTTAGAACACATTCGGGGCTAAAGCCTAATCAGATCCGCGTGGTTATTTCCCTTGAATTTCCTCGCGAATAACATATCGCACGGAAAACGAGCACAAAAGTTAACATTAAGTTCGCCATAACTTTAATCCATGCTGCCCAGGCGTGAAAGAAGGTGACAAACAGCGTGGCAGTTAATGTCCTTCCCGTGAGTGACAATTCTAACTGTAGACTCGAAATGTACAACGAAATCTACGGTGGATGTGGATGGTGTTGTGAGCAGACGGTTGTTTCAGGAAATATTGATTGGAAAACTGCACCAACAAGGGACTTCTAAAGACTATCAATTTGCATTTGAGCTGACAAAAAAAGACCTGATAGAGTCCGGGATTGAGTGTGATTGGCTAATGACGGTTATTTATCCATAAGTGACTCCCCCAGTCTCCCGTGCCTTTGTCATTAATGTTCTTTTGTCTAGTCGCTCTGCGGCTGCTCACGGGACTCGAGAGTGAGCCCCAAGAAACAACGGAACAAAGGTGTCCCGTATCGCGTTCGGTGAACCTTCATCTGCTATTTTTAATACTCCCGATCGGAACGGACAGGGAAACCAGATCGTGATTCAATAGTTAGAGCGCTGTACTCCTGTACTGGACAGGCAGCGGTTTCCAGAAGCGGGTAATGCAACACACGGGACTGGGTATGGCTGACTGATGACAACTGATGGTCATTACAGTCTACCCTGTCTTTGTCAGTAATGTTCTACTGTCTGTTAGACCGGCCAGTAGCGAATCCTAGTTTTCGGACAAACGATTTACTCATGTGACCCAGTCATGAAGAACTCGGCGGCCTCGGTGGGATTCTAGCCCACGCCAAAAAGGTGAAGTCCTTAGTACAGCCAAAGCTCTGGTCAACTGGGCTACGAGACACCTACCGGAAGCCATGAATTTAATCACACTTGAGTCAATTTATCGCCCAGCCTACTGCAATGTATTGAACCCACAAATACTGATATGGTAAGCTGAGTTTCTAAGCAGGATTTCCTAAGCAATCAAACTAGAATCCAGCAGGCACACTTAATTATTAGGAGGGGTTCGGCAGACCTGAATAATTTGTTCGACAAAATTGTCAAAAAAA